AAGGCTGGTCCATGACATTTTACTGCCTGAGGTGATGAATATGTTGATATGCATGCGTGGGTGCACACGCAAATACACACGCTAGCTGAATTGTTGCCACACAGCCCATTCCTCTGTGACTACTCAGATGGAAGTGTCACAGAGTTAACTGGTTGTTTGGTCAACTACTTTCCTTTTTCAGGCCTCCCAGGCTCATGGAGTGGTTTGTCTTACTATGCTGCTCTGCTTTGAAAGTCTGTGGGCAGACAGAGAAAGATGAAACTCCATCTGGTGAAGGAAGGAAGGAAGGAAGGAAGGAAGGAAGGAAGGCACTCACCCAACAAATCCACCAGTCTTGTCAAATCTGCAGCTATGTCTGATCTCCTCCACAGCCAAGTTGAGATTAAGAACATAACAAGAGGCAAAACAGAACCTAAAGCAGATGATAATTGTTCCATCCAGGTGAAAGAGCAGCCCTCTAGCTACTAGTGCAATGGTTCCCAATCTTTGGTCCTCCAGATGTTTAGGACTTCAGCTCTCACAACTCCTTGCTGTTGGCCAAGTTGGCTGGGGCTTCTGGGATCTGGAGTCCCAACCAAAACTTGGGAACCACTGCACTAATGCAATGCAACAAATCATGGAACACAAGCTATCTTGTCTGAGCAATAGGAATACATTCCTTCTCCCTTCAAACTGAAGACAATGAGATGGTTTTGTGTATCCTCATTGACATCAGCATATAATCCAATGTTTCTCCAACATTGGTTCTTCAGGATGTCAACTCCCAGAGGTCCCAGCCAACCTGGTCAGTCATCAGGAATTCTGGGATCTGTAGTTCCAAACAGCTGGAGAATCAAAGATCAAGAAGCACTGATAATAATATATTCTGATGACTACGCTGTACTCTGATGTCATTATCATCCATGATTGGCTGGAAACTCTCAGTAAAGAAGCCAGATGATAGATAGATAGATAGATAGATAGATAGATAGATAGATAGATAGATGGATAGATAAAATATTTTGGCAACAGAATAGGGAAAACATGGCTGGAAAATGTTCTAAAATATGTGAAAGATGGGGAAGAAAGTTTTTCATATTTTACCACCTGCATCTAAGGCATAGTCATATGGGGTGGTGGTGGTGGTATAGTGCTAGTTAATTCACAGGACTAGGTGATGTTCTTATGTGTGTGTTTTTTTAAAAAAAGTTGGCTCACATTCTTGTTATAAAACATGGATGGTATTATGATATCATAATATCATAATACCAC